TAATTAAGCACCAGAAGTGAATGGACCCCTTTTTTCTTTTCTGCCAACTAGCAAAGCAACAGAATCAATAATTAGTTTTCTGGCCTCCCCTGTTTCCTTTGACATGTAGAGAAGTGCAAGCATTGAGTTCCAGTTAGTTAGACAGATGAATCTGATTTCTTGATCCGCAGATGTGAATGTGTGAAAAAATCCAGTGCATTTTCACATTGTTCCAGATGGGATTTTCAGAAACAATGAAACATCAGTGACTGCTGACTGATTGGTCCTGGTAATTCTGTTAGCTCTTTGGTAAACTATCTGCATTGATCGTATTCAAGGATTGGCCAGATGCTGTCACATATGACTCATATATGAGGTACTTGCTATAGAAGTGTCTCTAGCTGTTTGTTTTTCTTTCTGAACCAGGGGATTCGTGCAACTCTCTGGAACTCAACTGGAACAATCTTTGAACTGTATAATTTGCAGAGCTTATGTCTCAATTGATTTTCATCTAAATGGAGACACTACTCAAATACTACTAAAGAATCTTAGAAATTTGGAAAAGAGCTTCGACTAGAATCTGAAGCACAAGGAAAAATGGACAGGGGAAATTAATCCATTTCTAGTCAATCAATCCAAGTTCTACCTAGTCTTGCCTGGAAAAGTAAATGCATCCTAGCTAGCATCAGGCCGCTGCAGATTTCTGATGCAAAATGACACCATTCTATGATTATGGGAAAGAGTGAACTGCTTAATTTTTGTAATGGAATATTAAAGTGTTGATTGGTTGCATCTTTTGGAGCTTCTAGCATAGCCAATTGTTTCTCAACTGACAAATTATTGCAGGTTGGTTATATCAAGAAGCACTAGGCAGAGCTCCTTGGAAGAAAATAGTTACAGAGCCATCCCCATCCTCATCCTAATGGAAATATCAGGGTGTTGCATGCCTAGTTTCAGTTTTCAGTTTTAGAACCCTAATCCTGTGAGCAGTGATCGTAACTCGACAAAACAAGCAAATATGGAAGAAATCACATCGCAAGCATTAGGCAATCCAGAGAGAAAGCGGATAGGATTCTCCATCCCAAGAAAAGCACACCATGAGGTTAAATTTGATTTGTTACTTCCACCAAAAAATACAGTAAAAAATTATGTTGAACAAGCATAAAATCAGATGGCAGCCCAAAAGGCCAAAACTCACCGGAAACTCATTCACTGTGGAAAGTGCAACAAAGTGCTTGAAACTGTGTTTTCTTGATTTTTAGTAGTCTTTTTTACAAGATAATTCATTCTATCAACTGAACAGCAGCTATTGCAGGTATCTTTTCTCTCAACTTTTGTGTTAGAGCTACTCGGACTGTCATTACGCCTGCTGCAGGGCCACTTAACCGAACTTTCACCACGTAGTCATTAATCTGAACGAGCTCCAGTTCTCCACCACCTGTGCCAGCCAGATAGGGTCTAATCTCTGAAAGAACCTGCATAATTTCAAAGCCTACCTCTCTTAGCAGCAATGACTAAAGACTCCTTTAATCAATCACAGACGCAAGAGTACCTAAGAGATGGACTAAAGAAATAAAAACATTCAAAACGAACATTAATCAGGTTATTTGCACAATATGTGATGTTCCAGAGTTCCTGAGATGCATGGAACTTGAAAGCATATGAATTTCATACGGCTTCTATGAAGATTAGGCAGAATTCAGTTCCAAAGTAACATAAAGACTCGTGTAAAATCACAACCAATCAACTCAAATGCAATCCTAAGAAGAGAGCAGTAGACTACATATGTGGAGGCTAGGAGGCTTAGATTTCTCTATGTGAGAATAATGATGGGGGAAAAAGACGAAAATCACATTTCTCACCAAGGAAATAGTTCAAATGAAAGAGCTGCACACTATCAGCAATGCAGCCAACTAGCTAACTTGATTGGCTGACAAGTAATAAGGCATAGTTTTGCAGTATTGGTTTGACAAGAAAGAAGACAATTTTACAAGTAGGCCAATTTTTTCTTTATATCCAACAGATGTGAAATCCATTCATTCTTTCAGGTCTCCACCGCAAACATATAAGAATATCATTAGCAACAGCAATAAATTTTCTGTGAGTTATGACAACAGAATTATTTTTTTCTTTTGTTTGGTGGGAATATAAAATGCAGGTGATTGGATAAATGTCCATAAACCAGAAGGTCCGGAACAATATTGAAACACACAGTGAATTTGTTGCTCTATCTTAGCTTATTGTCAATTACCTTCTCAACGTTCTCCTCATTCAATTCAAGGCCAGTTTCCGTATCAACAATCTGTTCCACTTCTAGTATTTCTGGAATCTTATCACGAAGCCGAGTTTCAATCCCCATCTTCAGTGTCATTGTTGAACTAGGACAAGACCCGCATGCTCCTTGTAGCTTTAATACAACCACAAGACCATCAATCTCATGTAAGGCTACGTTTCCTCCATCAGCCATTAGGCCTGGCCTTACTTCATCCAATACCTTCTCAACATTCTCCTCAGTAAGTGGCAGTACACAACTAGGTGAAACCACAGTCCCTTCAACATCAGTAAACGAAGAGTTAATAGAACAGTTCGATCATCCTCGCCGAAGTTGTTCAAAGGACAATATAATTTTTTGAATCTCTTATTTACCTGCATGCTTTCTATGTCTTTGATTTGAATTGAAACCAAGCAAGTGCCCAGTTTTGAATTGCCCTCTTAGAAATGAAGATTGTTTTGATGCAAATGAGCAGCCATCCGAGCAGGGATTCTTCAGAATTTCCAAGAAGTAACAGAAAAATATCACATTAGTAAGCCATAATTTGATACTTCAAGGAAACTGAATATGCAAGATCATGTTCGTATTCCAAACGGTTGATTATGGAAGTAAAGTTTATACCTTGAGGAGGGATAAACAGGCAGGAGAGGAATGCTGTGATGAATGGTGTGTTATTAATGAGGTTGGTATTGGTTTGAGAAAATTGGTTTGGGAGTTGGCACCAGAGAATGCATCCATCATGTGCTATCCTTTTCAGAATGCAAAGATGAGAACTCCCATTTCAGTTTGTTTGATGATTTACAGAACAAAATACTCCCTTTTGACAGTAGTTCAGTAGGAAGTGGCATTTGTGCGTTAGGGAAAGAATCTTCTAAGTGATTGAGAACATCTTGATTGGCTGATGAGGGAAAAAGATCGAAGAAAATTTCAGCTGGGAAGTGTTTTGAGAGTCGAGGTTCTCACACCAGTTTGTATGGATAGAATCTGAGCTTAATCGCCACGTCAAGATTTTAATCTAGGGGCGATGTGAAGCCACGTCAAGATTTTAATCTAGGGTCGATTTAAAGCCACGTCAAGATTTTACTTACTGAAACGTTAAACAGATCTAGGAGAAAACAAAAAAAAAAAAAAGGAAAATTACAAAAGCCCAAAAAGGAAAACAGAGAAGGACAAACCTTGGAAAATCTTGGGTTTCAAAATGATCTTGGGTTTCAAAACCCCTTCAAAATCTGATTTTGGGATCTTGAAGCAGTGCCATGCGCTTATCATTCTCATAGTAAAGAAAGAAGAAGGGATAATTTCAGAAACCTCCCTTGATGTTTTTAACAATTTTACTTAACTTCCCTCAAGTTTAAAAAATTACACTTACCTCCCTTGACATAGTAAAATACATATAATACCCTCCACTTAGTAGACAATTTTAAATTTAAGACAATAAATTTACAAAATAAAAAAAAAAAATCTATTTTTCTATCTCTCGTCTATCTTTCGCTCCTCTCTTTTCTAGTTAATATAACCTCTTTTTATTATTTTTAATTTTGTGGATGTTAGAAAATTGAAATTACAAAATCAACAGAGGAAGTAGATTATGTGTCAAATTAGAAGGAAATAAAGAGACTCGCAGTGATGGAGAAATAAATAATGAAATAAGAAGAAAAACTAAAGATGTGAAATTTGTCATATTTTGTTTGTTATCAAGAAAAACTTTTATAAATTGTCAATAATTACATAAGGACTTCTTTCATTGGATTAGAAATTTTTTATTTTGACTTTATTGTGGAGGTAGCATTTATTCTTTACTTTTGAAATATTAATATTTTTAAGGCCATAGAAGAGTTGTAATGGTGTTTTTATGTCAGATTAACATGTATTAAAAACGTATTTGAGTATTGATATTTAATTTTGGAGGTATAAAATTGATTGTCAATAGGATTTGTGTGTGTGTTTTCTTTTTTTTTTTTTTGCATCGCAAGTATTGATACTATATATGCAATTTGGAATCTTTTAGACGGCTATTTGGTTTTAGAATTTATGCTTGGATGGTTGTTAGAGATTAGACTTGTTGATTTGGGTAAAGTGTGGAAGAGAATGATTGAGTATACTATATTTTACTTTCTTAATTTTGTACAAAAGCGTAATTTAGGATTTTTGTGAGAAAATCTATCTTGTTGGACCTACATTGTGACTAAACAGTAAAAGTAGGGGAGGTATATGTAAGTTTTAAAACCTGGGAAAGCTCTGTGTAATTGTTGAAAACCTCAGGGGAGGTTTGTTAAATTGTCCCAAAAAAGAATTATGTAGAGTAGCATGCTGCAAATAGGATTCAGTTTAGGCCAGGGCTAAACAGGAAATGAAGCCTAGGTTGCAGGTTGCCGATTTTGGAATTCTTGACGACAATGGATTAACTTCGTGCAACTATCTCCCTGGAAAAACAACCATTCCAGCAAAGCTACTTTTGCGGATTCGTTTCAATTTGTCTGATGGAAACTGGTAAAAACTAGTTAGCCTCTGTTAATAATGTTCCACAAGGCTCACTTGGTTCGTGCGAATTTCTTTGTTAATGTGTTTTTTGGCCTTTAGTTATTTTTTTCTTTATGTAATTTCTAACTCCTCCATTCCCTTTTTTTTTGTGGTATTTTTATGATGTTTTCTGCATAATCTCTTTGCTCAAGTACAGCATCCACATTTTCTTTACTTCATTTGCAATTTCATTTTGCTCAATTGGTTGGTGGGAAACTTGGGATAAGTATATGTAATAGCTTGTGACCTTTATTTGGATCAGACATTAACATCTGTGCATGAAAGTAACATAGTGCGAATCACAATAAAGTACCGTGCAACTACCACTCTTTGCTGCCCGAGTTTTTCTTTGATGGAATCCATTCCTCATTCGCAAACTTCTTGTGGTAGAGGAATTATCCCATTTGCATCCACTGAGTCTTATTTTGCTTCGGTTCTTCACATTTGTTACCAAACGACTATCTATATTCTGTACACAAATATTGTAATTTCTTCAATGTATTGTCTTTCTGAATCACAGAAGGCAGCTCCAGAAAAACAACTTCCCTAACAGTCTGCTCAAACTGGAAATTTGTCCTTGTTAGGTCATATGGTTAAGGATGGAACTCCACAAACCGCCTCATGTTTCCAGGTACAAAAGCTTCTTCCATGGCTCTTATGATTGCAACCAGATCGCTCGCAGAATGGTCATTTGCAGTCACATTGCTAGAGCCAGCTGCAGTTTCTCCGAATCTTTCACTGATTGCGAACCTACAAACAGGGCATCGACCTTCGTTCTTCACCCAAGGAACAATACATTCCTCATGAAACATGTGGTTGCAAGGAGTAATCGTAACCATCTCTTTAGGCTCAAAATCTTCTAAGCAAATGGGACACCTCTTACCTTCTTCATGCTTCTCTTTTTCTAGTTCTTTGGATATAGTAAGTGGGCTATCTCGGTAGTACAGATTTGGTTTCCTTCTCGACAATTTTGTCATGGGATTATATGCTTCTTTCTTCAGCCTGTTCAAGACTCTCTTTTGCTCTTCTTGGGATAATTTGGACCCGTCTTGGGGGCCTTGCACACTCGGTTGCGGCTGAAAATTTGGCAAAGCAATAGCTGCAGGTGGCCATGGTATTGTGTTTCTTGTTGTGTCACTGTTGAAGTATTGAGTTTGATTCTGCAAATGTGGTGGGGCTGGAAAACTGCAAGTCATTTTATTAGTTTTCGCACACTAGGATTTCAAAAATATATACCTGATTCTTTTTTATCCATTCACAAATTTGAGATTTGGCATCGTATCTATAAACTGGAAACGAATGATACAAACGAAGAAAATGGTTATAGGACTAATCCATTCCTCCTAGCTCTTAAGTTGGACTAGTGTGAAAATTAAGGGACGCTTTCTTCCCCGTCCCCCTCGCCTCCCTTCTCTCTTCAATCTAAACAACAATACTCTATGCTTCCTGAATATCCCACACAATCATCATGTCCTTGCATCATCAGTTGGTAATTAAAAGAACATCAAACGGACATAATCATCAGAACTGGCATGCATTCCATCCTTAAATACGCTAGAAGAAATGTAGGGTTTGAAATTGAAGGAAATAAACAGATTTTTCTATCTTTTCTTCAAGCTAGCTCCACTTTACATTCTGTTATGTTTAGTTAACAAGTGTTTCTGAGCAAGCCCTTTTAATGAAATTTCATTTTTTTTTGGATTGCTCATATCCAGGCTGCTACTTAATATGCGGTATACACTTGTGATTTCATTATTTGATACATATACTGGTGTGCTTTAGTCTATGATTCTTGGAAAACAATTTTGACCTTACATTCAGGTGAAACTTTGGTGTCATTAGTAAATGTATTTAAGATGGAACCAGGATAAAATTTGTTGCTGTAACTGGGCTCCTACTTCTTCAGCTGGATTGGAAGATGTGATTATGTTCCAAGTTTCAGTGTTGTACAAGTTCCCCGCACCCAGAGGGGGGAAGGGAACTGGAATCAAAATCAAATCTTGATGATAACTATTGTTTTTCATTTCTTTTACTTTCTTGTATGGCATCTTTTGGAATTGTCCACAAAGATTTGGCAAGAGCTCATGTGACAGTAATTTGTATATTAGAGTGAATAGGCATGGATAAGAATTGTAACTTGAAGATAAGGATGATTGTATGCTATCTCCCTTTTCCAGAAAATGGGAAGCCCTTTTGTACTTTTATTTGTTCTCAAGGTCCTAGGTTGGTAAGATAAACAGTTCAATCCCAGAAAAAGACCAGTGACCATTCAAGGCAGTTTTGCCTTGCAAAGAAACTTCGTACAGCTTAGATTTATCATGTTCCTACTTCAGCATAGATCTTCTAGTTATGTATTGTTGGAAAGAGATTATCCTGGGAAGTGAGGTTGTGCAGAAAGAAGAACAAATTTACCTGGATATGCCAAGAAATCCACCGGGATTGCTTACCCCAAACAGCAACCGTGGATCAGGATCTCCTCCTCTGCGATCCTGTTTCATATGAAAAAAGACTGATCTGATATGTTCCTGGAAATAAATTATCGAATATGATGCACCAATTACTTTCTTAGACAACATATCAATATGCTGAAGACTAACCAGAGGACCTCCTGCAGGTGGAGGAAACAAGGAGGACAATCCATTCCTGCTACTAGGTCTAGCCGAATATCCACCATAATCCAGCCCAGTTCTCAGGTATTCTGGTGGCGTGTAATTCTGGTTACTTCCGTTCATAGAGTCTGTCAGCTGACGCAGAAAGGAAAATGACTTACAACGGAGGAAATTTCCCAGTGTTTGTAACTTTCCTGCCTTATTACATCTTTTTAAGTTCTCTTTGTAAATTTCCTTTTTTTGGCAGATGTGAAATATGATTCTGTGTCCATTTAGTTGATCCTGTAATTGGTGGCTTGGTGAGATGCATGAGATATGAAGCAAGGAATCCTGTACCTTCACGCAGCTTGATTACTTTTTCTTCCCTTGTTTTCTTGTCTGAATGGAATCTGAATAAATAGAGCAACTACGGGGATTAGTGTAAAGCTTAAGGCCGCAAGGTGGAATTTCCTCATGGAACCTTGCCACATTTGATGCTTCACGACAGAATTAGGTCTCTCCAGGTCCAGGTAGCTGAGCCATGAATGTGACAGGAATCAAACAAACTAATGAAATATAGCACAATGATCAAGTGCCTATTTGTCTCAAAACAGGGATTGAAAGACTCTTTGTTTTCATTCATCATCTCTTGTTTCCTTCCATAGAAAGCTTCATGGACTTTCCCTTATGAGAAGGATGTAAAATTTTGTTTAACTTATCAACATAATCTGTTTGCACTTTCGGTTGATTGTAACTTTTCCATCCAAACTACACAAGCTATAATCACCATGACACTGACCTTTCAGAGGACAGAGATTGTTGCAAGTACAATGCATATTATCGAGTTAAAATTTGCGGAGCTAGCATCATAATGGAGAACAGCGATTGCATCCTCGCAAACAGAATTGCACAAATGTAAAGTAGACTCACGAACCAAAGCATTAGGCAATGACAATCCCTTGAACACCTCATCACTCAAACCAAAGGCCATTATCAAATTCTCCGTGCTATTCTCCTCCTCTATATTGAATCTGTAACCAACCCAATGCACCTTTCCGTTAACAAATGCATGAGTCCAGAAGTGTGGAATCACCGCTTGAGGCAAATTAGCAGCAATCACCCTCCAATTACCTACACGTAGTGCAAAAACTTCTGCTATAGAAGGCATAATATCCCCATGACTCTGTTCAGCATAAGCAATTCTCACGACCTTAAAATCACTGTTTTTTATGTGACATCCAAATCCTAACAAGGAGTACATACTAGGCCAAAAGTTTTTACAACTTGCTCGGGGCAAAGGAAGAGTGATTTTTCGCTTGATGAAAGGGTTGCACAGCATAATAAGGTCATGTATCCAAAAACATCATCAGACAAACATAGTAACCCATTGCTATAATCCACAATCCTGAAATAATACTGCACTAACTGGCGAAAAGGGAAGAATATTTTGACCTCATTTTCCCCTGTGAAGTCCTCATTTTCGTGGTATACTGAGTAACGTTCAGTCCGTCGGTGTTTGCAGTAGCGCCTCACAAGCATTCTATCATCTGGGGTGGAGGATTTTTGAGAGAGAAGCATGATGGGTGTGCATGGAGACGAAATGAAGGCTTCAGATCAAAGATTTCCATGACTTAGCTACGCACCTCAGTCTCAGGAGGGTTTTCGCAGGAACCCTTCTGAGGACATGAACTAAAACCTCTTCAGGGAAGTAATCTGACATTTTTTATGAGAAATAGAAATGTTAAAATAAAAAGAAATACTGCTTTTTGGTTTTTTTTCCCCTGTTTCTTTCGGTAGGAAGGAAAAAAGGATATTTGACTGTAGGAAGCTTGGAATTTTTCCAAGCCAGGATTATGAAGAATGGTTTTTTCTGGTTGTCATGGTGATTTTATATCAGATTAGCATGTATTAAAAACGTATTTGAGTATTGATATTTAATTTTGGAGGTATAAAATTGATTGTCAATAGGATTTGTGTGTGTGTGTGTTTTCTTTTTCTTTTTTTTTTTTTGCATGTCAAGTATTGATACTATATATGCAATTTGGAATCTTTTGGACGGCTACTTGGTTTTAGAATTTATGCTTGGATGGTTGTTAAGGATTAGACTTGTTGTTTTGGGTGAAAGAAAATGATTGAGTAGACTATATTTTTCTTTCTTAGTTTTATACAAAAGGGTAATTTACGATTTTTGTGAGAAAATCTATCTTGTTGGACCTACATTGTGACTAAACAATAAAAATAGGGTAGGTATATGTAATTTTTAAAACTTGGAGGAGCTCTCTGTAATTATTGAAAACCTCAGGGGAGGTTTGTTCCAAAAAAAATTATATAGAGTAGCATGATGCTAATGGAATTCAGTTTAGGCCAGGGCTAAACAGGAAATGAAGCCTAGGTTGCAGGTTGCAGATGTTGGAATTCTTGACGACAATGGATTAACTTCGTGCAACTATCTCCCTGCGAAAACAACCATCCCAGCAAAGCTAATTTTGTTTGCACAGGAAAAGCGGATTCATTTCAATTTGTCTTATGGAAACTGGTAAAAACTAGTTAGCCTCTGTTAATAATGTTCCACAAGGCTCCCTTAGTTATATTTTTTCTTTATGTAATTTCTAACTCCTCCATTCCCTTTTTTTTTGTTGTATTTTTATGATGTTTTCTGCATAATCTCTTTGCTCAAGTACAGCATTTGCAATTTCAGTTTGCTCGGTTGGTTGGTGGGAAACTTGGGATAAGTAATATGTAATAGCTTGTGACCTTTATAATTGGATGGGACATTAACATCTGTGCACGGAAGTAACATACTGCGAATCACAATAAAGTACTGTGCAACTAACACTCTTTGCTGCCCGAGTTTTTTTTTGATGGAATCCATTCCTCATTCGCAAACTTCTTGTGGTAGAGGAATTATCCCATTTGCATCCACTGAGTCTCATTTTCCTTCGGTTCTTCGCATTTGTTGCCAAACGACTATCTATATTCTGTACACAAATACTGTCATTTCTTCAATGTATTGTCTTGCTGAATCACAGAAGGTAGCTCCAGAAAAACAACTTCCCTAACAGTCTGCTCAAACTAAAAATTTGTCCTTGTTAGGTAAGGAACTCCACAAACCTCCTCATGTTTTCAGGTACAAAAGCTTCTTCCATGGCTCTCACGATTGCAGTCAGATCGTTCCCAAAATGGTCATTTGCAGTCACATTGCTAGAGCCAGCTGCAGTTTCTCCGAACCTTTCACTGATTGCGAACCTACAAACAGGGCATCGACCTTCGTTGTTCACCCAAGGAACAATACATTCCTCATGAAACATGTGGTTGCAAGGAGTAATCGTAACTATCTCTTTAGGCTCAAAATCTTCCAAGCAAATGGCACACCTCTTACCTTCTTCATGCTTCTCTTTTTCTAGTTCTTTGGAAATAGTAAGTGGGTTATCTCGGTAGTACAGATTTGGTTTCCTTCTCGACAATTTTGTCACGGGATTATATGCTTCTTTCTTCAGCCTGTTCAAGACTTTCTTTTGCTCTTCTTGAGATAATTTGGACCCGTCCTGGGGGCCTTGCACGCTCGGTTGCGGCTGAAAATTTGGCAAAGCAATAGCTGCAGGTGGCACACTCGGTTGCAGCTGAAAACTTGGCAAAGCAATAGCTGCAGGTGGCGATGGTATTGTGTTTCTTGTTGTGTCAATGTTGAAGTATTGAGTTTGATTCTGCAAATGTGGTGGGGCTGGAAAACTGCAAGTCATTTTATTAGTTTTCACACACTGAGATTTCAAAATTATGTACCTGATTTTTTTTTTATCCATTCACAAATTTGAGATTTCGCATCGTATCCATAAACTGGAAACGAATGATACAAACGAAGAAAATGGTTATAGGACTAATCCATTCCACCTAGTTCTTAAGTTGGACTAGTGTGAAAATTAAGGGATGCTTTCTTCCTCGTCCCCCTCGCCTCTCATCTCTCTTCAATCTAAACAACAATACTCTATGCTTCCTGAATATCCCACACAATCATCATGTCCTTGCATCATCCGTTGGTAATTAAAGAACATCAAACGGACATAATCATCAGAACTGGCATGAAGAGGCATGCATTCCATCCTTAAATCCTCTAGAAGAAATGTAGGGTTTGAAATTAAAGGAAATAAACAGATTTTTCTATCTTTTCTTCAAGCTAGCTCCACTTTACATTCTGTTATGTTTAGTTAACAAGTGTTTCTGAGCAAGCCCTTTTAATGAAATTTCTTTTTTTTTTTTTTTGGATTGCTCATATCCAGGCTGCTACTTAATATGCAGTATACACTTATGATTTCATTATTTGATACATATACTGGTGTGCTTTAGTCTATAATTCTTGGAAAAAGAATTTTGACCTTACATTCGGCTCCTACTTCTTCAGTTGGATTGGAAGATGTGATTATGTTCCAAGTTTCAGTGTTGTACAATTTCCCCTCACCCAGAGGGGGGAGGGAACCGGAATCAAAACTAAATCTTTATGATAACTATTGTTTTTCATTTCTTTTACTTTCTTGTGTGGCATCTTTTGGAATTGTCCACAAAGATTTGGCAAGAGCTCATGTGACAGTAATTTGTATATTAGAGCGAATAGGCATGGATAAGAAATGTAACTTGAAGATGGGATGATTATATGCTATCTCCCCTTTCCTTAAAATGGGAAGCCCTTTTGTACTTTTATTTGTTCTCAAGGTCCTAGGTTGGTAAGATAAACAGTTCAATCTCGCTAAAAGACCAGTGACCATACAAGGCAGTTTTACCTTGCAAAGAAACTTCGTACAGCTTAGATTTATCATGTTCCTACTTCAGCATAGATCTTCTAGTTATGTATTGCTGGAAAGAGATTATCCTGGGAAGTGAGGGTGTGTAGAAAGAAGAACAAATTTACCTGGATACGCCAAGAAATCCACTGGGATTGCTTACCCCAAAAATGAACCGTGGATCAGGATCTCCTCCTCTGGGAGCCTGTTTCATATGAAAAAAGACTGATCTGATATGTTCCTGGAAATAAATTATCCAATATGATGCACCAATGACTTTCATAGATAACATATCGATATGCCTAACCACAGCAAACGAGGAGGACAATCCATTCCTCCTACGAGGTCTAGCTGAATATCCACCATAATCCGGCCCAGTTCTCAAGTATTCTGGTGGCGTGTAATTCTGGTTACTTCCGTTCATAGGGTCTGTCACAGAAAGGAAAATGACTCTTACAACGGAGGAAATTTCCCAGTGTTTGCAACTTTCCTGCCTTAGGTACATCTTTTAAGTTCTCTTTGTAAATTTACTTTTTTTGGCAGATGTGAAATGTGATTCTTTGTCCATTTAGTTGATCCTGTAATTGGTGGCTTGGTGAGATGCATGAGATATAAAGCAAGGAATCCTGTACCTTCACGCAGCTTGATTACTTTTTCTTCCCTTGCTTTTCTTGTCTGAATGGAATCTGAATAAATAGAGCAACTGCGGCGATTACTGCAAAGCTTAAGGCCGCAAGGTGGAATTTCCTCATGGAACCTTGCCACATTTGATGCTTCACAACAGAATTAGGTCTCTCCAGGCCCAGGTAGCTGAGCCATGAATGTGACAGGAATCAAACAAACTAATGGAATATAGCACAATGATCAAGTGCCTATTTTTTTGTCTCAAAACAGGAATTGAAAGTCTCTTTGTTTTCATTCATCATCTCTTGTTTCCTTCCATAGAAAGCTTCATGGACTTTCCCTTATGAAAAAGATGTAAAATTTTCAGTTTGCACTTTCTGTTGATTGTAACTTTTCCATCCAAACTACACAAGCTATAATCACCATGACACTGACCTTTCAGAGGACAGAGATTGTTGCAAGTACAATGCATATTATCGGGTTAAAATTTGCAGAGCTAGCATCATAATGGAGAACAGCGATTGCATCCTCGCAAACAGAATTGCACAAATGTAAAGTAGACTCACGAACCAAAGCATTAGGCAACGAAAATCCCTTGAACACTTCATCGCTCAAATCAAAGGCCATAATCAGATTCTCCGTGCTATTCTCCTTCTCTATATTGAATCTGTAACCAACCCAATGCACCTTTCCGTTAACAAATGCTCAAGTCCAGAAGTGTGGAATCACCACTTGAGGCAAATTAGCAGCAATCACCCTCCAATTACCTACACGTAGTGCAAAAACTTCTGCTATAGAAGGCATAATATCCCCATGACTCTGTTGAGCATAAGCAATTCTCACGACAGGAACCCTTTTGAGGACATGAACTAAAACCTCTTCAGGGAAGTAATCTGACATTTTTGATGAGAAATAGAAATGTTAAAATAAAAAGAAACACTGCCTTTTGGTCTTTGTTTTTTCCCCGTTTCTTTTGGTAGGAAGAAAAAAAAGATGTTTTGAGTGTAGGAAAGCTTGGAACTTTTCCAAGCCAGGATTATGAAGAGTGGTTTTTTCTGGTTTTAACCTGAGTTTGAGTAATGGCTATGAACGATGGGAACTAAGGCGAAGCTGAAAGGACCAGCTTCGCTCCAGGCTCCCATCAAACAGTGAATGATGATGACAAATGTCGCAACAATAAAGTACTATTTATTGCCCCCTTTTCATCTAGTTTTCCCCAGGTACCTAACAGCACTTTGGAAGGACTCGCATCGCACGTTCAAGAATAAAATAAAGAACTTCTTTTCAGCTACCAAGCACATTGCGGAAACACTCATCTCGCAAGTTCAGGCTAACTTGCCAGAGGCCTAGTCTATTGGAGTGCTGGCTGTTTTCTCATGCACCAGAACTTTGGGTACGTATTCAAATTTATTAGGAAATATTAATTTCAGGTCCTGATATGAGCATAACCAACCAGCTAAGGCCTAAAACAGTATCAGATAACCATATGCAAGCACTGCGGTCATTTCTTTTTATTTTTAAGAAAATGACCTTCAAATCTGAGTAATGGTAAGATAAGAGCAAATGGTTTCCATCAAATCTATTCCAAGAATGTTTGTAGACGAAAGAATCATTACATAATTCTGCAATCTAACAGCAGTAAAAATGACTCTGCAGTTTATCTAATCAGCAGAAGCTGTAGAGCACACAGCATACTTGAAGAAGAGGAAAGATGATAAGATCTCAATGAACAAAAACATAAAGAAAAATAGAGCTGATTGATACATAAAATGACCTTCTCAGATGGTAATTATGAAAAATATGACGAATGCCATGAATACCGAAAAAGAAAACATTGCAACTCCATAAGAAACAGTTCTGGCAGCCTCAATTTCAGCGTTGAGAACTTAAAAAACCGAGCTTCCAACATCTGGCTGTGCGCTGGAAGAAGAGTTTAAATGAAGATTCTTTTCAATTAAGTGATGTGAGAAGCCCCACACTTGTGTTAAGTTCTGGACCAGGAAATACCCGAAAGGATCTGCTCATGATAAGCTTCTAACTCCAGTATGATTCTTGTCAGCAGAAATCACCTGCTCATGGTCGAAGACAAGAAGAAATTCCAGAATATAGATCCCAAGGACATGAAAGCAACGCGTGCTTGAAGAGGAACCAGCCTGAAATTTTGACATGTTAAAGTTGCCAGAACATTATTCTATGGCATCTCATTGTGATAGTTACAGGCTAATATAAAAAGTTAAAAGACATCTCCATTGCAGAAACTTAATTTTTTTTATAAGTATAGACTGTATAGTCCACTATCAGTCTAGCAAATTATAAACAGGCGGGAAACTTATTCATTGTCAAACAAGTACCTGATCCCACACATGCAAATATACAACATTTTCAGCCATCGATGATACTGAAACTGCTTCCCCATGAGATCATCAAAGATTTTTTTTTTTCCTCTGGTAATCAAAAAGAGTTGTTTTCTCAGCCTTTTGTCTAAGATCCAGTGTTAGTAAGTTGGTTTTAGTTTTCATTTCAATGCGCGATATTACCCTCAGATGCTAAGATATTCTAATATTCTTTAAGAGATTCATCTCTTTCATATTTGGATCAACAACAACTCATAGATTACAACACCAAGAGATAAAGTAGAGAATACATATGTAAGGGAAAAAAAAAAAAGTCAGTAGTGGTGTTGATCAAATTTGCTCGGCTGCACCAAAATATCAAAGTTCCCATAAAGACTGATCTGAAACAGCAGTTATTCGGCAAAAAATTGAATACTTTGTTGGTCTAAAAACATGGTGAGAAACTGATTTTTACCAACAAGGCGCAGGCAATGGTAGCTTCCTTACTTAAGAGATGATTACGAAAGTAAATAAGCAACAAGAAGTAGAGGTCAGCTAAAGAAGTGAAGTTAGTCCCCTTGATATGACGGTAATGCTTATAAAATTCCAGAGCAACTTTGACATTCACTTAATTTGCTGGAGTAACTAAAGAAGTGAAGTTAGTCCCCTTGATATGATGGTGATGCTTATACAATTCAAGAGCAACTTTGAGTTTCACCCTTTCTGAAGTAACTAAATCATATATGGAATGGTATTACAAGCTGTCTTCCATTTTCCTCTACAAGCATCATCCCTCAAGCTACATTACTATAGTATATAATGATAATATAACTACTAGAAAGTGAATAATTCTGTTTGTCATTAGTAAAATTTCCTGACATTAGACCAAGTCCTTAACCAAGAAACTAATCCTACCAGATCAAGAAAAACAAAGCAAATTACATACCAGAAATTCAATATGCTGACTGGAATCCAAAACCTAAATCCTGCAAAGGAATTACAGTAGTAAAGCATAAGTACATACATGTGCATATAACTTAGCATTTTGCACGCTAGAAAAAGGTTCATACCAAAAAAAAGAGCAGGAAGAGCATCTTTCTGATACTTATTTGGAAGCTCTGACAGTTTCCCTTGCCACAGATTGTTCCATGCAAAAACGACAGCAATTACAGTTGGACCAAGCACAATTTGGTTCAGTATGACCTGCAAGGAGTAACATTTTCAGGACTTGAAAATAATCCATGAAATTTGGCTCAGGGAGAACTTGATCGTAATACCTACCTTAGCCAATAAGTTCTCGAATGTTTGCTTTGGAATGGTACGATCAAGGAACTGGTACCATTCATATGTACCCGGGCCATATAATAGAAAGCCATAGGTAGTCATTCGGAGGGCACGCAGCCAACCATGTTCAGAAAATAATGCCCCCAAAACACCCTGATGCAGCATTCAGCGAAATAGCAAAATTGGAATTTTGTTTCAAAACCAAGATCATCAATATGCATTTTCAATTTAGATGGTACGATATAGATGTGAATTCTTCAAGCATCAAATGTCCATTTACCAATCTGGAATTTGATATGTTACCGCATTTTTAGAAGGAAAAATAAGCGAAGATAATAAAGAGACTACTAAAACTGATCTTTAACTTATTATGAGCTTACACAAACTATAAAGAAATCCTCAAGGAAAACCAAAAGAGCTTACAGGTCATTGGAGATGAGATTAGTAAGTTGCACATTTTCTCCAAAAAATCACTACCCTGTTACCAAATTCACATTTCTCGAATATTGATCTAATGCTTAGGAACATATGACTTTTTAAGACCAATTCTGCTTCAAATTAACATGATAAAATTTTTTTGGTGAGAAAAGTTGAGATGTTTGCTAAAACCATACATAATATCCATTAAGAACCACATTTTCTAGTATATGATAACATCAAACATCTGAACTGACTTACCTTGACCGCTCAATGAATAGGTAGTTATCCACCATTCAATTCTCAAAAGAAAAACTACACATAAATGGTACAAAATTTTCAAACTTTGCTATTGAATTTTCTAAATTTCACGTAGCCCATATTAATTTTATATAAAGTACAAGAACAATTCACTTCCAAAATGGTAAAAATTCCAGCTTTTCTTGGATTCGTCCAAAAGTAAGAACTTCATTAATATTATTAAAGCCCATTACGAAAAAAGCTTTCTTTTTCTAATCTACCAGCTTATGTCAAGAAAATGAACGCATAGTGAAATGTAAACCGTGTGTTCGAATTTAAAAAAAAAAAAAAAAAAAACTCATTTGAGTAAAAACTCGAGTAATGAGCAACCTCGGGATGCTGAGGGCTGGAAAGGCTTTCTTTATACTTCACCCAGCGTTGGCTGAGCTGAGCTATAGTGTCGCCGGTGAGGGCTAGAGAGGCGGCCATGAATGCTTGCTTCACCGGGAACTGGTAACCGGTTCTACCGGTTATATCAGCTGAATTAGATGAGGATTTTGATTCTCTGATGCTTCTTTTTCTTGGACTTCTTCTCCTATTGTTGTTGAAATCATGGAAATTCAGTTGTCCCATCCCAAATGGACCCCAATTTCCACCACCACCTAACGACCCCATTCCCCTCGAATTTACCGAGACGCTAATCTCAGCCTCAGGTATCACTTGTACTCGTAGTTCTTATTCGCCTCAGAACTTTTTTTTTCTTCTCAATATAAGAATTTATTCTTTGGCCTCCGGCAATACTAGGCAGGGGAATATTGACTATTCCTTTTCTTTTTCCTTTTTTCCTTGATCTAGTTAATGTAGTTAACTACGACTTGATAATTCATTACTTAATTGGATCTTTTCTCTATTTTCTCCTTGGCAAGAGGGATACTACCTTTTTTTTTTCAGTTCAAGAAAGGCACTACAAATACAATGGAAAAAATTATTGTGTCCGGTGTTCAAATACGCATTTATTAAGATATATTTCAGGTGTTATTTTTTTAAATATAAAATTAATTAAAAAATAAATAAATACAAGAATGAATAATAATTATTAATATATATATATATATATATATGTGTGTGTGTGTGTGTGTGTGTGTGTGAATGATAGGTTAGTTAATTTTTAGATACGTTAACGAAGGTTAAATACACACATGTTAGGAAAATCCCAGAAAAAAATCAAGAATCAAGGGACACCATACACGTACAAGGGAAAAAAGCACTTGAAAATCAAATCAAGAATTCCCTAGTTACAATACTAATGTTTATAACAACTGGTCTAAATCAAATAACAACGGAACTGAATCATGAACACAAATTTTTAGTTTGTTTATTAGACCTCTGGGCTCCACTTGGGGCATTTTATTTCTTTTTTGTGGTTAAATTAATTTGATTAAAGTAGTTGACAAAGACTTGCATGTAATAAACTACTACTATATGGAGTGTGTGTGTGTGTGTATATATATATATATATATATCATAATCAACCAGCTCCACGGAACTTGGTAATTTAAGTACAAGATCAGGAAGATAATCAAGTACTTGAATTTGATTGAATTCAATGATCCGAGCTTCAGCTTGATAAATTAATGAAAAGGTTCAAGTCTCCAATCATCATCTGAGTCTAATCAACTACAACTGCTCTGGCAACATCAACTTCCCATAAAAGTCTTCATTCAAAGAAAACGGGAAGGGCAGTTCAAAGCAAGTGTTGCACAAGGATCAGCTACCCAGTAGACACAAAAGACAGCAAAAAAGGATCCTGCAATCAAAGAGGATAGGGTCAAAGGTCATGGCAATCTAAACTCCGATTGTGAAGTAGAGATGACAAATATCCAGACTTGCAACTTCTATTCCCAATTCACAGTGTTTAGAGGCAAGGCAAGTTTTAAGCCATAACTTAGGCTTTGTCTCCTGTATAGAGCATACCAAAATGGTTAAAAACCTGCGAAAAAAACCAATTATAAAATGCCCTGGATTCATCATGTTGCCGTATCATATAGAACAAAGGTTATTGATTTCAAGAAAACATTGACAACTCTGACACTAGTCACCAATATATTGAGATTCCTAATCTACAGCCATGACTAACATAAAAGGAGGTCATTGACATTGATATCTAGGAAGAACATCGGAGGCATCATTTTCAATGCATGATAAAGTCCGTTGATGTAATTCGACAACTAAGAGCATATACTGAGATAGACACTCAGGAGTAGTTGTTCTAGTTTTATCAAATTTACCATTCCTATATGATCCATTACAAAAAATCTTTTGGGGTTCATCAAATAATTAGTGGGGTTGTTCCCTACATCTCTAACTCTTTGGCAGCCCTGGATTGGGCAATAAAGCACAAGTGAACTTTATAAAATGGAAGCCGAAAGAGTTTGCAGGCAAGTAGAAAATGAAAAAATTGCAAAACATGAATGCCCAAGGATAGACACAGAAATCAATCTTATGAAGATGTTAAGCTATTCAGCAATTGACAGTTCACCTGCATCATTGTGCAAGCAGTAGGGCTTTCAGAAAGCCAACCAAGATGGACTGCTTCCACAGCTCAATCTTTTCAACTTCACAATCCTCTCCTCCATTGCCATCTTCAGAAGAACCAGAGTCAGCCGCATTTGGTAGACCTTCCAATTCTTCTTCTCCTTCAATCAGCAAAGCTAGACTCTCCGTATACCGACCAACAAAGAATGAATCTTTGGTGCCCAAAATTCCAATGTATTTAATTTCTTGAAGCCTTGGATCTGGATCATATGAATACAGTTCTCCGTCACTTGCTGTCAACAATATATTACCATCCTTCCTAAAACTCAATATCTTCCCCAATTCTCCTTCAAGAGCTACTGTGTACATTTTGCTCCAAGACTTTACATCGCCATATACTGTCATCAACCAAATGGAACAGCTTCCAGTCCCAACACGCTTATCATAGTTGAGAACAGCAATTGAATCCTCACAAACAGAAGTGCACATATTTATTGGACACTCAACAGCCAAAGCATCAGGCAACAACAGTTCCTCAAACACCTCATTGCTCAAATCAAACACCATAATCAAATTCTCCTTCTCTTCATTCAACCTATAAGCAACCCAATGCACCTTTCCGTTCACAAACGCCTGAGTCCAGAAGTTCTCAATCACCCAGTTTTGAGCCAAATCAACATCAATCTCCCTCCAATCACCTACACCCAGCGCAAAAACTTCAACTATGGGAGGCAACTTATACCCGCGTCTAGACTGATCATAAGCAATCCTTACAACCTTAAAATCATTGTTTTTCACGTCATATCCAAATCCAACCACAAACATATAAGTCCCCAAGTTCTCAAAAACGGCGCGGGGCACAGGAAGAATCATTTTTCGCCTGATCGAAGGGTTCCACAGCATAATAAGGTTTCTGTATCCAAAAATATCCTCAGACAAACACAGTAACCCATTGCAAAAACCCACAATCCTGAAATAAAACTGAGCTAAACGGCGAAAAGGGAAGTCTATTTTGACCTCACTTGCCACAGTGGAATCTTCATTGTCGTGGTGTACAGAGTAAAGTTCAGTTCTTTGGGGTTTGGAATAGCACCTAACAAGCATCCTATCATCTGGGATGGTGGGTTTTGAGAGAAAAGCTTCTCTGGTATGCAGAGAAATGAAATCAGGACTGGAGATCAAAGATTTCCATGATTTGGATACGCACCTGAACCTTATGAGAGACTTTGCAGGAACCCTTGTGAGGATTCGGGTCACAATTTCTTCAGGGATGAAATTGGACATTTTTTTAAAGGACCTTTTTCTGGATTTAGTAGTAAAATTATAGACTCTTGAGTGAGGCAAAGAGACTATAAAGACTGGAAAGATTAAACCTTTTTTGAGAAAAGAATTTGATGAGCGGAGGGTTTCTACTTGATTCTGGACATAATTCAGAGTTCCTCTGCTCGCACTACTGTGGAGCTGTGTAGTCCCTTTCCAGGTTGAGCTCAAGTGAGCAGGGTCGAATGGAGTTTTGATCTGATAGAGCCGGGCTTTCGAGCTTACTCGGGCTTAAAAAATAAAAAATAATTATATTATTTTTTTAAAAAAGAGTAAAATAGTAATTTTTTCTTACAAATAATAAAATATTAGAATATATATATGTGTAATTTTATTATTAAAATAAAAAATTATATATATATATAAATTGAGCAGCTCACGAACTAATAAGCTGAATTTTTCTGCGTTTGATGTTAACTAGACTCGAGTCGAATTTTGACTGAACTGACTCACAAACACTTGCGAGCAGCTTGATTCGAGCACTATTCCCTGTTATAAAGAAGTTCCAAGAAAAAAATCGATTGATTTAAGTGTGTTTGGACAGTAGATCATTTGGGATAATTTTTTGAAAAAAAATACTGCATCACTTTTTTGATATGACATATGTGGGATAAAAAAAATAGTTGAAAAATGTGTTGATAATACAATCAAATAAAATTTAACAAATAATCTTTCACCAGATATTATTTCAACCTTTACTTTTTAGTTGAACAAGAGCAAGAAGAATATTAACAATAAGACTAATCAAACATGCCATAGCAGAATTTTTTGCATATCTGTGTTTGGACAGGAGATTATTTGTCCAAATATATTTGTTTTCATCATCATTACAATTTCTAATACACTTTTTTATCTTTCTAATTATTTTTTGATTTCATATATATCACATCACAACAAGTGCTACAGTAAAAAATCTCAAATAATTTACAATCCAAACACAAGCCAATGCTCTCTCTTTCCACTTCTTACATTTCGATATGCACACAAGTCTATTCAATCTAAGGTAATCTCAACAATGATTTTAACCGTGAAAGGATTATCTTTATTGGCAGAACCTTATTCTAAGGTGAACAGAAATGCTCCTTATTATTCACTGTGATGTTTAATCTAATCCTTGGAAATTCTTGTCATGCTCCCATTTGAATTGTTATTTTTGAAATTTTCATAAAAAAAAAAGTACTATAACAATTTGATACGTGTGAAATAAAAAAGTAACTAAAGCCACGTGAATAAGGTGTCTATAGTTGACTGCCAAGCAAGATTGTAGAGTTTTACTATTAAGACCCAAATAAGTACAGCCACATACGTTTACTTTTGACCAATTTGGTTTCTTTGTTTTGTTTTACTTTTGACCAGTGATTGACTAGGAAGGCCTACATTTACTCGTCTTGTTTTGTATAATTTAATTTGATTAAAGTAGTTGAGAAGGACTTGAATGTGTATTTTCTTTCTTTTTTTTTCTTTTTTTCTTGTTAAGGCGGGATGTTTCTTGTCCAAAAAAATGATAAAATTTTAGGAAAGCAGTCGAGTCAAAATGTAATTAACTACTGATTACGTCATTAATCCACCTTGATCTTGGAAATTCTAATAGACTAGTACCCGAGCTCCATGGAACTTGTCAATTGTATACAAGCTCAGCCAGATGATTATGTACCAGAAGTCAATTGAATCCATTAATCCAAGCTTGAGCTCCACTAAGCTAATTCATGAAAAGGCTGGAGTTGTCTCTTAAGTATGCAAGCATCAAGTCTAATCAAGCTACGTTACTCAAAACTGCAGCTGCTTTGGAAAATCAACTCCCATACAAGAGTCTTCATTCAAAACAAAATGGTACCAAAAAAGAAAGAAAGAAAGGATAATCAAAGAAAGTGGATTGGGAAGGGCAGTTCAAAGAAAGTGAAAACGAAGACAAAAAGGTTTCACCCATCTCAGCAAGTGCCGCACAAACATCAGCTCCCCAGCAGACAAATCAGACAGCAAACTGCCGGAATTTACACAAAAGGATCCTGCAATGAAACAGGATGGGGTCAAGGTCATGGCAGTCCACATTGCAATTATGAAGTAGAGATAAGATATCTATCTAGACAATCAACATTTTTTCCCAATTCACAGTATTTAGAGATAAAGCCCAGTTCCAAGCCATCCCTTTAGAGTTGTCTCCTACATGGTTAAACACCTGCAGAAGCCAATACTACAATGCCTTGGATGCATCATTTTGCTGACCAGATAGAATGAGGTTCACTGAATTCACAAAACAGATGCATAAATATCATTCAGGTGAAAAATACAACAAAGTTTCCTTCAAACTTCGCTATAGTTAAAATAACGTCTCCTCTCAAACTTCAGATAAACCCTCCGTACAACTTTGACACCAGTCACCAATTCATTTGGCATTCCTAAATTACAACCAGGCATAACCAAAAGGAGCAGGTCATTTAAATTAACGTCTACGAAGAACACAGTACACATCATTTTGGATACACGATAGAGTCAGTCGACGTAGTTTTAGAAACTAACAGCAAATCCTAAAATAAAAACTCAGGAGAAGTAGTTCTAGTTTTGCTAAATTTACCATTGCTAAATGGTCTGTGAAAAAATCCTTTTCGGGTTCATCAAATGGTTAGTGAGGTCTTTCCCTAGATATCCAGCTGTTTAGCAGCCCTGGATTGGATGATAAAGAAGTTGTGAAGCATACAAAAAGGAAGTTGATCGAGTTTGCAAGCAAGCAGAAATTCCAAAAATGCAAGACATGAATGCCCAAGGATAGATACAAAAATCAGTCTAAAATCATGTAGAAGCTATTCAAATTCAAATATATCAGCAGTTGAACATTTACCTGCATCATTGTTGTTTGTTCAAGCAGAGCTTTCAGAAACTCAACCATCATGGACTGCTTCCAGAGCTCATTGGCTTCAACTCTGTCATCCTCTCCTTCATTTTCATCTCCAGAAGAATCAGATTCGGCCACATTTGGCAGACCTTCCAGTACTTGTTCACCATCAATCAGCAAAGCTAGGCTCTCTGTATACCTATCCACAAAAAATGAATCTTTGGTACCCAGAATTCCAATGTACTTAATTTCTTGAATCCTTGGGTTTGGATCATATGAATACAAGTCTCCATCTCTTGCTGTCAACAATATAGTACCATCCTTCCTAAAACTCAATATCCTCCCCAGTCCTCCTTCAAAATCTACTGTGTACATTTTGCTCCAAGACTTTACATCACCATATGTTTGCATCAACCAAATGGTACAGCATCCAGTCTCAACATGCTTATCATAATGAAGAACAGCAATTGAATCTTTGCAAACAGAAGTACACAAATTTATGGTACACTCAACAACCAAAGCATCAGGCAACAACAATTCCTCAAACACCTCGTTACTCAAATCAAATGCCATGATCAAATTCTCCGTCCTATACTCCTCCACATTCAACCTATAAGCAACCCAATGCACCTTTCCATTAACATATGCCTGAGTCCAGAAGTGCTCAATGATCCAATTTTGAGGCAAATTAACTTCAATCTCCCTCCAATTACCTGCGCTTAGTGCGAAAACTTCAACTATTGGAGGCAAGTTATACCCACTGTCTGACTGATCATAAGCAATTCTTACAACCTTAAAATCATTACTTTTCAAGTCATATCCAAATCCAAGCACAAACATAAAGGGCCCTAAGTTCTTGTAAATAGCTCGGGGCAAAGGAAGAGTGATTTTCCGCCTGATCAAAGGGTTCCACAGCATAATAACATTTGTGTATCCAAAAATGTCATCAGACAAACACAATAACCCATTGGAGAAACCCACAATCCTAAAATAAAACTGAGCTAAACGGCGAAAAGGGAAGTCTATTTTGACACCACTTGCCACAGTGAAATCTTCATTGTCGTGGTGTACAGAGTAAAGTTCAGTCCTTTGGGGTTTGGAATAGTGCCTGACAAGCACTCTATCATCTGGGACGGCGGGTTCTGAGAGAAAAGCTTGACGGGTATGCAGGGAAATGAAATCAGAGCTGGAGATTAAAGATTTCCATGATTTGGATACGCACCTGAATCTTAGGAGAGACTTTGCAGGTACCCTTGCGAGGATACGGGTTACAACTTCTTCAGGCATGTAATCGGACATTTTTTCAAGGCATGTAGTCGAGCAAAATGTTCTGAGTAGGATAGTCGTAGTAGTGTGGAGTTTTCTAGTAAGAACCTGGGCAACTTGTTTTCCTCTGCCCAACTATAAGCCTATAAACTAAAGAAGTTCCAAGAAAACCTTTTAAGTTTTGTCTTTTTGTCCCAAAGGGTCGAGGGGAGTTACAAAAGGAACTGTAGTATCATCGGATCAAATGCGTATCTGTACACTCGCGATTAAATGCAAGACAAGAGATTTGATCTCTTAACCTATACTCAAAGAAAATTTTAAGCCTCTCCCCCATGGCTCGTGGCTGAGTTGAGTTGGTTATGTTTCAAGAAAACGGAATGATTTTTTTTCCCTTTTTGTTTTAATTTTTCTTTTCAAGATTAGTAAGTGATTTAAGGAGGATGCTTTCTTGGCTAGATTTTAGTTAGGGCAGGATCGTTTAAAAAAAAAAAGAGATGATATTGGTAGTTCCAAAAAAAAAAAATTTTCCAAGCGCCCCATCCTTCATTTTTGGTTAATTAAATGACAAAAAAATTGTTTGTAAATTGTCCAGTGTGCATTTCTCGGTAACTCGTATTATTTTATCTCTTTGATTTTTTTTCAAATTTTTTATTTTATCTCTTACATCTGCCCTAAATTGCTGTAGTATTAAGAATGGAGAAAATTTTTTATAACAATGACTGAATAAATGTTGTTTGAGTATGAATTGTTTAGTAATTCTTGATTAAAGTACAAGCCTTCGTAGTTGAGAGCTGTCTGTAATTTTTGACATGTTCATTTGTTAGGTGGAACTTTGCAAATTTAACGAAATTTATAATTATTTTATATCTTTTTTTTTAAGTTTTAAGACTTTGTAATTAAAATTTTATAGGTCTACACAAAAAATAGACCATTTACTATGCTTTGGGGGTACTTTTTGCATTTAAATGTTAGAAAATCTAGTTTATGGCTCAATTCGTTGTTGTCAATAATAATGAACAAGGATGGAACTGGAGATTGCCTTAAAAAAAAAATTTTTGGAGAGCCAATATCATTGGACATATATTAAAAAAAAAAAACAAAT